GAGTGAGTTCCAGGATAGGCTCCAAAGCTACACAGAGAAACCCTGTCTTGAAAAAACAGAAAACAAACAAACAAAACAACACAACAACAACAAAAACCTATCACAAGGTCATATTCCGTGGCATAGGCTGGCCTCAAACTCATGGCAATTCTCCTGCTTCAGGCTCCTGAGTGCCGGGACTACAGATATGAAGGACTGAGTCCTTGTAATGGAGGAGCTTTGGATAGTGATACGTATTCACGGAGGAGGCCAAGCAGAGGGAGACAGGGGTAAGGCTGATGTAGATACACGCTAACCCTGAGCCAAGCAACCCAGGCTCCAGAAGCAGCCCACAATGGACCTTCCTTGAGGGCTCAGGAGGGCTCAGCCTGCAACAGCAGATCTCAGACTTCTAACCCCCAGAGCCACGAGGAAGCACCTGTTTAAACCACCGAGTCATCACGCCTTTGCTGCCACAGCGCTAGAGAAAACCAGCACGTCCCACACTGTACTCAACTGTCCTTTGCCGAGAAAGGCCTGTGTTTCTGTAGCGCCAGAGTGTGTACTGAGGACCACAACTCAGCATCCACATGGTTTACACCTGTCAGTTTTCCCTCCAATTACAGTAGGAAAGAAAAAAGGTGTGTATATTTAAGAAAGTGTGAGGCCACAAGCTCTGGGCCAGCAGGTCCCTTCTGGTATTCAAGGAAGGACACCAGAGGCCTCCTTACCTAGGTCACCTCCAGTGTTGTCTAGTTACTTTTTCTGTTGCTGGGATAAACACCATGACCGAAAGCAACTTGAGGGAGGAAAGGATTTATGTCACCTTACACTTTCAGGTCACACGCCAACACTGAGGGAAGCCTAGCTGGGTAATTCCTCAATTGAAGTTCCTGCTACTCAGGTGACTATAGTTTGTATCAAACTGACAAAAAGGAACCAGGTCAATGAGATCCTCTTTGCCTTAATCTCCCACCCCGGGGCCTCATCCCTCTGTCTCAGCCCTCACCCCTCTGTCTCAGCCCCTCACCCCTACTGTCTCAGCCCCTCACCCCTCTGTCTCAGCCCTCACCCCTCTGTCTCAGCCCCTCACCCCTCTGTCTCAGCCCTTCACCCCTCTGTCTCAGCCCTCACCCCTACTGTCTCAGCCCCTCAACCCTCTGTCTCAGCGCTCACCCCTCTGCCTCAGCCCTTACAGCCAAGGGGATCCTGAGAGCTCCCAGGCATGAGTGGGCCTCAGGAGGAGCCCTCACACTCCTACAAATCTGTCAAGGCTAAGCTACACTTCAGGCCCTAACCCTTCCCCTGGCCCTGGCCTAGGTACACCGAGGACAGCCCTTTTGCACAAGCCAGGCAAAGCCGGCCCCACTGTATGGTTTCCCAGCCTCACAGCACTGAGACTACACAGAGGGAGGCCACTGAGAAAAGCCACAGCTCTGGGGCTTTGCAGCATCTTGACCGTAACGCTCATGAGCGTGGCTGAGAGCCACTGAACCAGAGTGTCAAGAGTGGGATCCTTGTGCTGGCAAATGCTCAAAGCAAGCAGGTGCCTGCTGCAGCCAGGAATGCAGCCCTACACTGAGCACTAGCCCTGGGTGGGAATCCCCCGGGGAAGGCAGTTCTGCTTTTCTTTGGACTCTTAGTCATTTTTCCGTTGTGTCTGGTAACAGGGTCTTGAAAGCATCCTTCTGAGGATACCCCAGGAGGGGCTGGGCTGTCTACACCCATCTATCCTGTCAGGGCACCTTCGTTCACACTTATGTCCCTCAGGGGACCAAGTCCCGGGCACTTAGGCACAGCCAGGCCCACCAACTTCTGAGCAGCAGTTCTGAGATGGGGTCACTGCAGAGGCCCCTGCTGGAATTAGGGAAAAGACAGTTTCTGGTGACGTGTTTGGGGTTACATGTGTGTGTTGCACATGCATAAGCATATAGGCACACATGTGATCATGTATGCATGGGTACATAGCCGACATGTGCACATGAGAGAAGAGGCTATATGGACACATTGTACATGTGTGTGAGCAGGTGAACATGCACATGTCTTCATGTAGCAGTACATGTGTGCATGCAAAAATGTTCATGTTTATGCGTGTGGATGTCACATAAGTTCATGTGTGTAAATGTGGACATTACATAAGTTCATGTGTGTAAATGTGGACATTACATAAGTTCATGTGTGTAAATGTGGACATTACATAAGTTCATGTGTGTAAATGTGGACATTACATAAGTTCATGTGTGTAAATGTGGACGTTACGTAAGTTCATGTGTGTAAATGTGGACGTTACATAAGTTCATGTGTGTAAATGTGGATATCACATAAGTTCATGTGTGTAAATGTGGATGTCACATAAATTCACGTGTGTAAATGTGGATGTTGCATGCACGCATTCACATGTGTGCATGGATGTGGATGTTACACATTCACATGCATATATGGGTTCATGTGAATGCATGTGCTATATGCATAAGTTCATGTATGTATATGTATATGGGTGTTACATAAGTTCATATGTGTGAATGTATGTTACATGCATACATCCCTGACATACATGCATGTGAGTATTAGCATACATAAGATCATGTGGAGGCGTGTATATGTGCATAGACGGGTACATGTAACTCACAAGCGAATAGCTACGGCTCGACATTGTTCAGTCATATGACTTTTACCAGTCCAGGAACCCCACAGTCACTGCTCTGGCCACGATGAGCAATGGCAGCCACCTCAGGCTCAGCACCCCATTCCTGAAGTGGACAGCGGGGCTGGCGGTGCTCTGGGCGGGGAAGGACGTGGAGCGGGAGCTGGGAGAAGAGAGCCCTGGCAGGAGCTGCAACAGAGCAACTGAATTAAATCTCTGCCTCCCAGAAAGATCTGCAGTCTCTCTGCTTCTTCCCAGCAGGACTGTACACCAGTGGCTCTGTGATGGGTGTGTGGAAGAAAACACTCCCATCCCTCAGGAGTACGGTTAGGACAGCTCACTTCTCTGGCACAGATCCCAGTGGGTCAGAAAAAAAAGCATCAAGCTGAGTGCCCTGTCAATAACTGTGATTCCAAAGCAGGGTGAGGTGGGTGAGCCTGACAGGATGTCCCTGCTCCTAAGGGTCTTTGGAGGCTAGGGCCTGGGATAAGCGTCCCTGGGCATCCTCGGTATTCGTCCCATTGTAACCCAGGGGGCCTGAATTTCCACCAGACTGCTGACGCTACTTGGTGTGAGACTCTGGACCTGTGTCTCTGGTCCTCCTCCTATTTCCATGAACCAGGAGGCTTTCCTATAGGAAGCCTCCTAGGCAGAGAATGGTCATTTCATTAACTGCAAAGGTTGGTTGCCATCGAAGCATCCTCATCAGCACACCTCCTGAGCCAGCCCTGCCTGAGTGAGCAAAGTGGGTGTGGTTCAGGCAGAAGGCACTGGGGAGCAGCACTGAGGTGGCCTGTGCAGCTGAACACACAAAACTGCCCACTGATGCCCAGGCAAGAGACTGCTGCCTGCCTCCCCACGTCCAGGAATAGTTCAGCACCAGGGCGTGTGGACAGCTCCCTGTCCATCCTTTAGTTCCTGGGGTTCTTTGGCTATTGGAGGCGGGGGGGGGGGGGGGGGGCGCATTTCTCACTGGCAGCAGCCCGCATGCAAGCTGTCTACAGCAGTGCCATCGCCTTCTCCCCAGCAGAGCTGTTCTACCTTGTCCCCGTCAACTCTCGCTACAGACTATTTTTCACATTTTCTGTGCCCACTGGAGATAAGAGAATTACCATAAAGAATGACATCCAGGTCATGGGGATGAACAACCCCCCCAAAACCACCAGCTCATTTTAGTGCTCCTCTCAACAATACAGCCGGTCCCCAACTCCTCATCCCCCTCATTCAATGATCCTGGCCCATGAGACAGAATTCAAGCTACAGGTTTCCTGTGGAATAGGAAGAGGCTGGCTGAGGGAAGGTCTACCTGGACGCGGGTCCTTGGCATTGACCTCTGTCTTAGATGGATGGCCACAGCCCTGTGGGTCATTTGATTCCTGCGCACCACAGCTTCATTAGCACACATTTTAGAGGCACATTTGTATGTATCCAATGCCTTACAGAAATATAACAAAGCCAGAAAAAGCGTGCGCTCGAACACACACACACACACACACACACACACACACACACACAGAGAGAGAGAGAAAAAGAGAGAGAGAGGGAGAGAGAGAGAGAGAGAGGTATCCAACAGATGAGTGGTTAAAAGAAAAAATATTACCCAAACAAGATATCAGACAAGACACACACAAACAAAATCAACACACACATAGGCTCCTACCCTTCAGTATCTGTCTGTCTGTCATTCTCTCTCTCTCTCTCTCTCTCTCTCTCTCTCTCTCTCTCTCTCTCTCTCCCTCTCTCTCTCTGACACACACACACACACACACACACACACACACTCCAATCCCTTAGTATCCCACTCCCCATATCCCCCAAAATTTTCACACACACTCTTTTAGACCCCCATCCCCAACAAGCCCAGGAAGGGGGTGTGTCTACCACTCTGTTCCATGGTGCCAGAAGCACCCTGACAAGCCCAGCACTGGGAGAGTCAGCATTACCCACCAATCCTAGCACCCTCATAGGCCCACCGATGAGCCCAGCTCCAGAAGAGACTCCGCCCAGCCCACTAGGAAGACAGGAGGAGGGGACCCCATGCGCATACCACACTCCTCTCTCAAGAGAATGCATTAGCCTCTGAGCACAAATCCAGGCCCTAGTGCCAGTGCTAGCAGGGTCAGGAGCCTGTGGAGCGGCACTAGACAAACACACTTCCTCTATGCATTCTAAACACAAACTGGCATCTGCGGGGGACAGGCCCTGGGAACAGACTAGCAGGTGCAGGAGGGAACCAGGGAGACCAACATCTGAAAGAAGCCCATGGCCAGGCTGTGGGCCCTGCAGGTGGAGCATCAGCTGGTCGGCCAGGCTCCACCCCCCACCCCACCTCACCCCTGCCCACCCCCAGGGTGTGAATGGCTCTTTGGGCACTCACCTCTGCAGCTCCTTCAGGGAGACTGTGATCCGTAGACTGTGGCCCAGGACATAGAGAGCAGCCAGAATGTCGGCCCATTGCACCATCTCCCCCAGAGGCCCGCCCTTCAGTACCCTTGGGCTGAACACGTCCCCGGACTCCTCTGTCAGGAAGCCGATGTGGACAAGGATCTAGATGAGCAGGACACTGGAGGTCAGCAGCAGCAGCAGCCTTTAGGTACATCCACCCCCAGGATCACCCGAGAAGACCGCCCACAGCACACAGGGTCTCCAGGCCAGGCCTGGTTGACTGCTTTTAGACAGGACACTGGGGCTGTACATCAATGAGGCCATTGTGCGATTGCCTCACGGAGCTTACTGCGCAAATGGATGAGATGGGCAACGGTACACACAGACAAGACAGTTTTATGAAATGACAAGGACTCTGGAAGAAACAGAGAGGGAGGTGACAAGCATGCAATGCTCTATTACATGGATAGATGGTAGTGTAGACAGATTGACAGATGGATGGACAGATGGGCCAGCAAACCCTCCTCAGCCCATTATTCCCAGACTCCTATAACTTTTCTGTCTGGCCAGATAAAAATGGCCCAAGGACGCAGGCCCACTAGGGATGATCATCCTGCCCCGGCCTGGGAAAGGGCCAGGGGCTGCACCAACTATCCTGGCCCCGTCACCTGCAAGTCCTCTATCTGAATTTAATGCCACTGGTCTGAGGACATGTACCGCACCCAGTCAGAACCCCCAACAACCTGTGTCCTCCTTGAACCCTGTGCCCACTTGGAACTCCACACTCATTCCCACTTACAACTCTGTCTCTTGGAACCTTGTGCCCATTCCCCCGCCAGAGCCCTTTATCCAAGCACTCCCTGAGAGAATGCCATACCTGTTTCTGGTCTCTCCGGATGTCCCCCAGTTTCTGTGCCAGGTGCTTGGCAGCCTTGGTCCACTGGGCAGTGAACCTCCTGGTTCGCTTTTTCATGAAGATGAGGGACTCCTTCCCACTGCCCATCAGCTCCAGCAGGTGGGACAGGTTGCTCCGGAACACTGCCTGTGTTGGGCCACATGCCAGCTCTCTGAATCCCCGGTCACACCCTCACCATCCTGTCCTCGCTCTCCCAGGATGGAGGCTGCTACCTACTGTAGGGTGGGCACCTGCTGCAACATCAGGTCAGGGGCTCTGCTCTCTCTTTCCGGTGCTCACCCCTCCAGCTCTCATTTGCCACCTGCCCTGTGTCCTCCTGGAGAGCTGGTCAGCTCTGACCAGGGACTTGGCTGCCTTTCAATGGTACCTCAGTCAATGATGCCTTGAACCTTTAACTTTCTAGTCCTGTGAGTCTTCATCCATTAAATATAACCACAGAAGGACAAACACAGTGCCCCCAGAGCGGAAAGCCCTCAGGACATGATAGCTATTATCACTTGTTATTCTGACCCAATAGGAATGACTCCAGGACAACTCCAGCAAGTTCCGTAGGTGAGCTGGGGACTCTCCACATCTGGCAGAGCTGGGAGCCCCATCCCATGGGGGCGCTGACAGGACTGGGGCTCCCTCTCACTGTCTTACCTGGACTTTGGGAAGGGCCTTGGGGGCTTTCCGGGAAGCAGTCTGGTTCCTCCAGGGCAGCGGGGGGCAGAACCACTCAATCTCACTGAGGTAGACGAGGAAGGAACACTCGGTGCCATCCACTCCAAAGAAGGCATAGCAGGGGTCAGAGGTCCAGCGCGCACGCATCCACTAGAAGAAAGTCAGGCTAGGGCAGGCAGCCAGCAATCCACCCACAGACCACCTCATAGACTCCCCCAGCCACAGGGACCCCAAAATCTTCCAGGCTGTGCAGGAGCTGTGAGGCACGCCCCAACCTGAAAGATGCAGAGAGTGGAGACACATGACTGGATCGGGAGCCTGATCCAAGATCTGCCCTCTGCTACCGAGGACCAGAAAAAGAGGTGGGCCACCTTCCCTGAGGACTCACAGAAGAGGGACTGGGACCCAAGACTTGGCAGACATAAAGAGGCCAAGCACCTGTGCAAAGATCCAGGAGGCTCAGTAGCTGCACCCCATGTTCCCTTTGTCTTTGCCACCTCAATTAGAGACCATGGGGACCAGGGCCAGGGAAGTTCTTTCCACAGAGGTCCCCACACACTCCCTAAGGTTGGGGTTTGTTGTCCCACAGGACTCCCCCCCTTACAGGTTCAGAACTAGAGGGAAACTGGCTTTAAGACCGTGGATTGGCCCTCTATATACAGGGACATTGTGCAGTCAGAAGCAGCCCCTGGAGGTAGACAGGAGAGGCCCTGGTCTAACCAGCCTCGAGTCAGGCAAGAAGAACCAAGAACCGAAGCCCATTCCTGCCAGCGTGTCAGAATGGGGCTCTAAGTGGCCACCTACGTTTAGGTGTAAGAGAGTGCCAAAGCCCTGAAAGTGACTGTTTGTATTGGTAGGGGGGGTAGGCTCAGTGAAGAAAATATTTCTCTAAATTGGTCGCCACCAGCTTGTGCTGGGCTAGGGACCTGGTCAACAAAGAGCCCAGGTCGGGCAGAAACTCAGAGGTAAGCTGGGCAGAGCCCTGAGAAGAAGCCTCCACCTGTCTGCATCCTGCCTTGGGGAGAGCCCTAGGCCTCACCTCCACTTTCCCTGAGCAGTCAGGAAACTTGGGATCACTGGGGGCTTCACACTGGTCCCTCCGACCTTCAGACACTGCAAAAAAATAAGAGGATGGCTTACTGAGGCACCTGGGCCTGGAAGCAGCCACGTAGACAAAGCAAGGTGGAGAGGTCTGTGGTGCGACAGAGCAGTGACTGTCCCTGCCCCCTCCACCTGAGGTTTCTCCAACCGCACAGTCCTGGAATCTGCGCTACCCTCCTTCATACACTAAGCCTCCTCTTCCATCCTCAGAGCAGCAAGCTCTTGTCAATAGCTACAGAGCAGCTCTCTGGATGGACCCACCCCAGACTCCCCACAAATATACCATTGCTTTTCCTGAGGATGGCAGTTGAGCAGATGGTTTTCCCATCCAAAAGGAATGGTGGCCTTACTCTTAGAACTGCAGTGACGCAGTCTGTCCTCCACACCCTCAGGCAGGCCAGGGTGGGGTGACCGGGTGCCCCTGCCGAGAGCCTCAAGAACCAGGCTAGCATTACCAGAGGAATGGGACCTCCTGGAGGCTCTGCCCTACCCAGCAGGGCCTTGGCCTCTGGGGACGCAGGGCGGTGTCCTGGCCACAACGCACCCTTGCTATGCAGAATCAGGCTATGGCGCAAGATCTGGTCCACCTTCACAGCGATGTCAGACACATTCTGGGCAATGGCCTGGATCCTCTCAATGAGGCCAGCCCCAGGGGTGAGCCTAGAGGGGAGGGGAGAGCCAGAGGTGAGCACAGGGACAGTCAGCTGTCCCAACCAGCAGAGGCCACCGTGGAAACCAGCTGGGGGTGGAGCTGGGCTTGCCTGCATCAACTCACACCTATCAGGCAGCAGGGAAGCCCCTTCTCTGCAGGAGCCAGGTGTGTTTACAGTGTGCTGAGTATGTAAGACACTGCGTCTGGGACTGAAGACAAAGAAACTGCTGTCTTCCTGACAAGACCCTGAATGGATGAGCCCAGGAACCCCCAGATGACAGAGGCCTTCTCCTAGCCACTGCCAGCTCACCAGAGTCTGTTCACTCTGCATCACACCATGACCCACTACACTCCCGGCAATCTGGGGGCCGTCAGTGAACTGGCATTGGCTTCCTGAGGACACATTCTTGGGGCAGGAGCAGGGCATAGCTGATTGGTGTCTTCTTCTTTTGCTCTCCATCTTACATTTTGAGGAAGTGTTACTCACTGAACCTATAGCTTCCTGGTTGGCTAGAAGACTGGGAACCGAGGTCTAGGGATCCTCTTGTGTCTGCACCCCCAGGGCTGGGGTAATAGGCATGTGACAATATGTCAGCCCAGGTGCAGGAACAGTCAGCAAGTGCTCTCAATTGCCGAGCCATCACTCCAGCCCCACCCCCTTTGCTAATTTTTAAGATTTTATGGGCTGGTGAGGTGGCACACACCTTTAATCCCAATGCTCGGAAGGCAGGGGCAGGCAGATCACTGTGAGTCCAAGGCCAGCCTGGTCTACCATGGGGAGTTCCAGGTTAGCCAGGGCTACAGAGTGAGACAGCGTCTCAAATAAGTAAGACAAACTAAGATTTCTTTTTTTATGTGTGTACATGCCTGTGTGAGTGTACATGTGTGTGCAGCTACCTGCAGAGGCCAGAGGCATTCGATCCTGGGAATTGGAGTTACAGTTATTTGTGAGTAGCCCAGCTTGGGCGCAAAGGTCTGAATTCAAGTCCTCATGTGTGCGCAGCAAGTGCTCTTAACCACGGTCCCATCTCGTCAGTCTCCTACCCCCAACTCCCTTTTATCATTCTGAGACAGTCTCATGCAGCCAGGTTGGTCTCAAACTTACTATGTAGTAGAGGATGACCTTGTACTTCTGCTCCTGCCGCCTCCCCCTCCCGAGTGCCGGGATGACAGACATGCTCCACCACATCAGGTCCATGCCGTGCTGGGCATGGAGCTGGGGCCAGGCAGGCATTCCACAGACTGAACCACATCTCCAGCCCGCTTCCCTGCATCCTGAAAGAGTTTTGGCTGAGGATGCTAAACCTTTTATTTCCCTTCATCAGCATGGGGCCGCTTTGATTTCTGGAGGATTTATTTCCTTGCTGATGACTGGCCAGTGCCCTGGGAATTGTATTAGTTGTTAGACGCAGTATTTATCTCATTGCACAAGCTGCGATTGAGATGGATCCCACTCTGCTGGCCTTATCTTCCTGTCAAGCACAGCCCTGGGGCCTTCTCCAGGAAGCTGCTCGCTTTCGATTCTTTTGTTGCACTTGCTTTGATTCTCACCTCACCTCTGGCACATGCACACATGCACGCACGCAAGTACGAGCGCGCGCACACACACACACACACACACACACACACACACACACACACACACACACACACACACTGCTGCTTACGCTCTGTTTATTCCTAGACAGGTATTTGGTCTGCACAGATCCTGGCCTGGAAAGTGAATGAAGGGTCTTTGCAGCCTGAGCTCTGCCTGGGCATGCAAACCTCACCTCTCATAGGCTGGGTGACCTGCCCACCAGAGAAGGCACAATAGCAGACCTGGACAGCAAACCACCATGTCTGACCACTTTCCTTTCTTCTCTTCACCCAGGGAGGAGCAGAGAGTGACAGAACACTAAGGAAGTTCCAAAGGCAGATTGGGGCTGTCCTCTACACCAACAAGGGACAGGACAGGACCTCTTCTCACGAATGCTGCTCTCCCCTCCAAGAAGCTGGGACTACGGGCATGTGTTACCATGCCTGTCTATGAGATGCAGTGAGTTTAACCCAGGGCTGAAGCGCCTGGAAGAGGTGCCCCAGCACAAGGCTGTGGTGCCTCCCTGGCTGCCAGGGCAGGCTGCTGACCCAGAGGGCAGCTAAGCCTGTGCTTGTGACTCCTGTCAGGATTTGGGGTTCACAGGATTAGAAAGGGCCAAGCAACTCACACAGGGATCATCCCGGCATCCGGCAGGCATGAAACTGATGCCACCTCACCACCACAGAGCCACCTTCCTTTAGGCATCTCTCTGTCTGCTCCCACTGAACCCCACCATTTCCCACACCACAGGGCCTGCATGGGATCCCTGGGAGAGTCCTCAGGGTAGGAAGGCTTTCACACACAGGGACCAACGCTGCCAGAACAGAGGTGTGCTCAGGGACCCCTCACTGTAGGCTGGGTAACAGCTTCTTAAACTCACGTCCTCCTACAAACTGGGAGTGTGCCCCCCGTGGGAATGGTGTCTTTGAGATTGGGGGAAATGAAGTCATGCTGGAGTAGGGGTAACACTAAATCCAATAACTGGGGTCCTTGTCAAGAGGTCATGTGACAGGGGGGTGGGGAAGAACCACACTGGGTCAGGCAAGGTACAGTAGAATGCTGTCATCTTGAAGTAAGAGCCATTGTGACCAGCAGCACAAGACTGTCACACAGCCATCGTTTTAACATTCCCCTGTAAGAAAGATGTCACCTGAGACTCTAGCCGTTCATTTGCTCCTGACCCTGCCAGCTGGACATGGCCTTAGGGGTACAAGGGCATAGAGGGGAAGGCTGACTGGGATGTAGTTTTGTGAGCTGTCACCCAAGCTGACATGGGCATTTGTAATGGTGCAGCTGCTGGAGTCACCCTTGTTCCTCCTCTATGAGGCCCCATGCTGGACTTGAACAGGACTTATTTGGTCTGTGGGTGCTATATCTGGGATAAGTGGGAGTTTCTGTGTGTCTCCCAGCAAAAGCCAAGGGACAGGTGGGTCCTACAGTGATGCAGTCCAAGGTCAGCAGTTTCCCGCTAAGCTAGGACCTACCCGGAGCCCAGGGAGGGCGCCGCAGCTGCAGACGTCAGCCCCTTGAACCGGGAGAAGATAATGAAATGCCTTTTTCTGCCATGTGGCTTGTAGTCACTTCATCTAGTTACCCTACAACACAAACCACCCGCCATCTGCTGAACAAAGGAAGCCGCTTTCTCTCCTTCAGCCTGTCAGGTTCCATTGGTTAGGAAGTTCTTTTCTAGCTGACTCTCCCAACTGAACTAAAGCGTCATCCTCTGCCATGGCTCTCACTGGGGGACAGGGGCATCGGCTGACTGTCCCACCTAGCCAGTGACTGGACAACTTATTTAGATCGTTGGGTACAGTGAGTCTGGGAGCCAGAGGGCCTGGACAGAAAGCCCGGTTTCCCATTGCAGCAGCGTGACCTGGGGAGGGTTACATAACCTCTCAGAACCCAGGTATCAAAGCAAAGATACTTGGAGGGTTCAAGCTGAGGCAGAATGGCGACACCTCGGTATACAGTGGGTGCTTATTAAGGATTGAACCTGTGACCTCCCACATGCTAGGCAAGTGCTCTACCACTGTGGTACCTCCCCAGCTCTGCTGACACGCTTCTCTTCCCTATTTAAACAGACACCCTATCCCTAAGAGGAAGTGGTGTAGGCTCAGCTGAGAAAAACTGAACTTTTTGAAGGATTCAGCATTTCTCCTACAATAAGCGGTTTTTGCATAAAATATATCGCCAGCATGGGTTTTAAATAGCACCATGGCATCTGTTGGACTTAACAAGTTCAAGTCGTTCAAAACAAAATCACTCGGCGTCACTATTATTAAACTGGACTTACCATTCACACAGCACTTTCTATTTTCAAATAATAGACAATTAGGGTTCTCACGCTGAGACACTTTTCCACAAAAGGCAGTAAAAGCAGAGTCTCAGGCCTCAGAACCCAGATCTGTGACTTGGGAAATGCCCAGGTAGACAGGAAGGAGGGGCTGAGGTCCGATCAATAGCATGCTGGGCTCATATACACAAAGCCTGGGTTTGACCCCTAAATACCACATGAACTGGGCCCAGGGATGTGGCTGTAACTAATGCTTGGGAGGTGGAGGCAGGAGATCAGAGATGAGAGAGAGAGAGAGAGAGAGAGAGAGAGAGAGAGAGAGAGAGAGAGAGAACTTCTCATCCCTACAAGAAGGAGGTGCTACAAAGTAGATTTGAGACAGACAGGAATGTACCATGTCACTCAGGAGGGACCTCACTCAGTAAGGCCTGGGCTGAAAAAAAAAAGGTCAGGTGGTACAAACTGAAGCCTTTGAGGTGCAACCACCCCCAATGCAGGTGGCAAAAGCCAAAACTGTTCTGAAGAGTTTCCTTGGCAACAACCATGCTGTTCCCACAGGGCCATCAATCAGCAGGACGTCCTCCAGCTGGGGCAGTGACCATGAGCCCTTTGATCCCAGTGGTAATTACACATTTCATCTCCTTCTCTTTCCCTCTTTAGGTGTTTCCATGGAAAGAGATCCAAGTGTGAGCCCTCACTAACCTGGGCAGGTGGGCACCAGAAAAGCAGTATGGGCAGGGAGGGGCAGGGACCGGAGACCTCAACAGTCACCCTGGTGGGATTCCACTGCCCGGGTGCCTTTCTTAGGACCCATTCCGCCTGACCTAGAATCCCAGGCTCTTCACCCCCGACAAAGTGGCAGTTACACTGCGGCACTGGCTCTCCTGTGGAGGCGAAGCAGGCCTGGTTTGGCCCCTTCAGCTCTGTGATCAGAAGCGGTCCTTGCTCTGTCGTCTGTAGCCTGGACACCTTCATTGTTGGGTGAAAATGAAGCTCACCAGAGTTCTGGGGGAGGGGAGTGTCACCTTGCCTATGGCCACTCAGTCATCACCCCCTCACTTTTATTGATTCTAAAACAGAGTCCACTGAGTCTACAACGTGCTACTGGGACCCAGGGCCACCTTGCATGTGGTCCT